TTTGTGAGTGTAACCACTGTATGATTTTTGAGATCTGTCATATTTTCAGGTGGTATTTGCCAAGCCAACTTGGAACCACACATAAGGGAGGTGATTCTAGAATCCTATTGCTTTTTGAGAAGGGTGCATTAATTCTCTATCAATAATTTTTCAGTAATTACATAATTTGAGGCTGTATTGTTGAGTGCATGTTTTCATGATAAATATATCTTCTTGCTCTACTGTTCTTTTTCTATATGGCATATTTCTTATTCCGCAAACCATTTTTTTTGCCTTGAATTCTATTTTGACCATATATTAAGAAGTTGTCACAACTTGTTTTTTATATTTGTCTTATATATCTTTCATTACCTTTTGATTTTAATCCATTTGAATCTTTTTGTTCTAAAAGTTTCCTTTGTGGAATAAACATTGCTGGATCCTTTAAAAGTGCAACCTAATAGCCTTGGTGTTTAAATTGTTGAGTTTAACTAATTTGAAATTATTTTAAAGCCATCTAAGTGTTTATTATTGCCGTCATTTTTCACATGGTGCATCCACTATACATTCCCTGGGGTGTTTTGTTTTTCTACTTTGCATTGAATAGAAGAGATTTTCTTTGGCTAATTTAAAAGTTATTTATTATTTAAAATTTTTATGATGGTTGCCTTAACTTAAAAAAGGCCCATACTTGTGTTTGTTTATTCCTATTAAACATGAATTATATATGCCATCCACCTATACCAATTACCCAGCTTAGAAAATAAAACCTTAGGAAAGAAAAACCTTGATAGAAGCTGTCTGTGTACTCCTCTTCATGACATTTCCTTTCCATCCCCACACAGTTAATCACTCTTTTGGATATGATATTTATAATCCATATACATGACTTTGTAGTTTTACTGTATGTGTATATATATCCTTAACTTATGTATAATATTGTTACATATGCTTTAATCTCAAAATAAATGGCATCACCTGATATGCATCCTTTGCAACTTACCTTATTTTACACTTATCATTATGTTTGAAATTTATCCAAAGTTGATACATATATTTATATTCAGTGCTGTGTAATGTATTGTGCATGTCCATTATACAAATAAACCACAATTAGTTTATCTAAGGTATATGTTATTCAGTTTCAGCAACAGGAGGCTGGAACAGAGATGAGACAAACATCCTTTAAGATGATTTTGAGAAGACAGAGTGAAAATGGTTAGCAAAATAAATTAGTAAAAAGAAGTTAACAAACCTGCATGTTGTGCACATGTACCCTAGAACTTAAAGTATAATAATAATAATAATAATAATAATAATAATAATGATAGAAATAAGTAAATTTGTCAAGTTGGACGATCATCAAATTTACCTAGAACTCAACAAGAGGAAAAGCAAACTGTGGCAACAAAAATGATTTTATCCACTAATGCCCCTGAATTAATCTGCTCAGGCTGCCATAAGAGAATGCGACAGACTGACTGGCTTAAAAAAAGAAGTTTATTTTCTCATAGTTTTGGAGGCTGGAAGCTCAAAATCAAGGTGCCATTAAGATTGGTGTCTAGGGTGGCCTCTCTTTCTGGCTTGTAGATGGCTGCCTTCTCACTGTGTCTTCACCTGGCCTTCTGCTCTGTGTGTACATGCATGAAGAGAGAAAGAAGGCTCTCTTGTGTCTCTTTCTCCTCTTATAAGGACACCAGTCTTATCAGATTAGGGCCCTACCCTTATGAGCTTTATAATCTTAATTGCATCCTTAAAGGCCCTATCTCCAAATGCCATTAGGTCTTGAGTTAGGTCTTCAACGTATAAATTTGGGAGGACATTGGGAGTTAAGTCTTCAACATATAAATTTTGGGAGGACACAACTTAATCCATAACATCCCCAAATACTATGAATCACTTGATTATTGCCACAATACTGCATAAAAGCAAACTTAATTTCAGTGGCTTATAATAACAAATACTTGTTTTTCTTGCTTATGGGTTTGTGGGTTGATTTGGATGAGGTTGATCTCAGCTAGTGGGGTATGGAACCAGACTGTAGGCCAGGTTTAGGTCCACGTGTCTTGTCTTGGAGTCCAGGCTAATAAGGCAAAGAATACTGCTGTGATTTGAATATGTCCTTCAAATTTCATATGTTGGAAACTTAATCACCAAATTAATTTGTGGATTGGCAGTGGGGCCTTTGAGGGGAAATTATGATTAGATAAGGTCATCAGGGTGGAATACACATGATGGGACTGGTGGCTTTATGAGAAGATGAAGAGAGACCTGAGCTGGCAAACACTCTTGCCCTCTTACCATGTGATGCCCTCCACCATATTATTACATAGCAAAATGGCCCTCACCAGATGCTTGCAGGCACCATTCTCTTGACTTCCTAGCCTGTAGAACTATGAAAAATAATTTTTTTCTTTATAAATTACCGTCTGTTGTATTTTATAAAGCAATGCGAAATGGACTAAGATAGATATCTAGGGCATGTTCTTTTCATGGTGATGGCAGAAGCACAAAAGCCCAAAAGCCAACCACATAAACATATTTCAAGCCTCTGCTTGCACCATGTCTACTATAGCCCATTTGCCAAAACAAACCACATGGACAAGCCCAGAGTCATGAGGCAGAGAAGTCAACTTCTCTCCCTGTGGCAACTTCTACCCATGGCGAACCAATTATGAGATCATGGCAATAACAAGGGTTTATAATACTACGATAGTATAGTGAAGAACTGGGAGCAATAATTCAGTCAGTCACAGCATATATACTGAGGCTCTGATTGTTTGGGATGAGCCTTAAGTGGTATTAAAAGACGTTCTTTCTCTGTAGTGTCTTATGGGGTTATGAGCAGTAAAGACTGATGATGCATCCACACCAAAAGTCATCGTTTCTTCATTTTGTGCTTTGATTGTCTTATGCACTTCTTACATATTTTCTTAGGTTCCTGATCCAGTGACCTCTGTGTTTTATTTGAGGATTAAAATTAACCACCCCCTTTTACTCTATGAACTCTGGGTCATTTGAGAAATATCCACAAGGTCTTTGTGTGAATTCAATATACTATTAACTTCATTCTTGGTGAAGGTGTTCTGGACCAAAGACTGAAATAGTATTCTTGCTATTTCTCCTCTTGATTGTGAAGTTACCTATCCACTTGTAGGTATCAAACCTAGAGAGCACCCTCCTGCTTTGTTCACTGCATGGGAAGAAGAAAAGCTGGTCAGAATTAATCACATGGAGGAGGAATATGGGGTTAAAAGTGTGTCCAAACAAAAGAAATAGTCTGTATAAAAGTCTTGAGGCAGGAAACAGAGTTACTGACTAACTGATGGCCACTGCAGTCTTCAGGCTGTTGAACAATTTACTATCCAGACGTGATTGTTAAAGCTTAAGGCCCTTGGAGAGTTTGGTATGAAGAAAAATAGGTCCAAAAAAGAGCTGACCACAAAAGTAAAAGAGAAGAAGACTTTAGTTCATTCATTCACTCTTTCATTCAATAAGCATTTGTAGAGTGCTACCTTGTGCCAGGCACACTGTTCAGCATTTGGGGATATGGCAATTAACAAAATAACCATATCCCTGACCATGTGAATCTTATACTTATGTCTGGAAAGGATATAAATAACAAACAAAATAAATAAACAAAACATATAATATGGTAGAAGGTAATAAACAGTAAGGAGAAAAAAATTAAACAAAGAAGAGGGCTAGGGTATGTTGTTAGTGGGAGTGGGGTGTAATTTCAGAAAGAATGGTCAGGATAGGTGACATCTGAGACATAATTGGAGGAGATGAGGGCCGTGGTTGAAGAGTGTTCTTTACAGGGTACGAGTGCTGGTTGAGTGCTGGGAGATAGAAGTTGAGGAATAGTAAGAGGACCAGTGTGTGGGAGAGTAGGAGATGAGGTCAGGCAGGTAATGGGAGTGGTGGTGAGAGGAAAGAAAGGGAAGATCAATTTGGCCTGCAATGCTTCAGGTGTTTGCTCATGAGATGGGGAGTCACTGGGATGCTTTGAGCATAGGAGAGACACGGTGTGATCTACCTTTTACAGTCAAAGTGGGTTACTGTGTTGAGTACAGACTGGAGGAGAGAAGGGGGCATAATTCTATATAGTCCTGAGAGAATAGAGTCAGTGGGTAGAAGGGGCTGACTTTTCTAACCACTAGCTAACTAGCTAACTAACTAACTAACTAATAACTAACCTTAGTTAGCTGACTACCACCAGTGAAACTGGCTGCCAACTCACCTTGGGAGTTACACTCGGCAATTTGTCACTCGTAGTCCCAAAGGATGCTATGGTTGTTGATACTGGGTAATTCCTACCTTGAATAAGGAAGGCATCAGACTCTATGACATTCTGGATTCCTTCCAATACTGAGAGTCCTTGATTCTATAGCATGTACCACCTCAATCTCCCCCGCTAGAATGTAAGCCCATAAGCACAGGGAGTTTTGTCTGTTCTGTTCAGTTCATTGCTCTACTCCCAGTGCCTAGAATAGTGCCTAGCATATAGCAGGCACTCAATAAGTATTTGTGAAGTGTATGAATGTCTCTGTTAAACCTATGGCTGGACCTTGAGCAAGACGTTTCTCTGAACCTCACAGAATAAAAAAGTTGGGTTGAATGGCATTGATGACCTTTCTAGGCTGGCCAGTCTGTGATCCCCATTTTAGGGTCTGAGTCATTGTTTCTAAGGCAAGCTAAGGGGTGCATGAAGAGGTTCTTATATGGAGGAAAGACAGGGATGGATAAAGGCAAACCTGCATGAAGGAGGAGCACATGGGTAACTTCTGAGGCTGGAGACCAGGGCACCCTCTGAAAATAAATATGAATTGTTCTCTTTGACATGCACAGGGCTCTAATTCCAATAGGGGATGCTTCACTAGAAACTGAGGGTACAAGACACTAGGGATCCATCCCGGGCATGTTGTCTTTGTGCTAAGTGAGTCAGCTTGGTCAACAGAGTGCTCATAGGCCCCGAAACTCTCCTGGGAAAAATAGCATAAATAGCAGCAGAGATTCCATTGAAGGGTATAGAAAATACATTTTTAATTTTGATAGAGTTCACAAATTACAGCATTGACATTTCTTTAAACAAATACTTCTGTCAAAGCACAGCATTACCATGTGTCCCCAGATGCCCAAGAGGCAGTGATTTCATGTCCCCCCGAGGTTTAGCAGAGCCACCAATGTCAACAGGATGGCTGACGGGGCCTAGATTTGCTACCAGATAAGCCAGTGAGACATGCTGTCAGATTTATGGTTACATAATCAAGTATTTAAAAAGATGCACAATAGGTAACTGCAATGAGCTTGTTCTGCATTTAGCAATAGTTCCTTTCAAACAAAGAAGATAGTTTTCAGTATCAAGAAGGATGTCTGTATGTATGTCTTCCATGGAGCCTTTCCTACAAATTGCTTTCATTACACAATAAAGAGTTCAGCTTCACTGTGACCTAGGAGGAAGAAAATAACAGCCAGAATTTAGTTACTGGTAAATTGTCAGACTCAACGTCTATTATCTCACTTACTCTTTATAGTAATGCTTGGAGGTAGATACTATTGTAGTCCTCAATTTACAGATGGAGAAACTGAGGCTTGGAGAGAGTTAAGTAACCAGTTCATGGTCGTATAGCTGGTAAAGGGCAGATACAGTTCTTGAACTCAAGTCTGTGCACTTAATTTGGAGGTACACGATATAGTAATGTATACTCTAAAATGATAGTGCCATTATCTTTCAAACTCAAATTCTAGAATTGTCAAAATTATAAGTGTCAAAGAGCAGTGTTTTAAATAAACAGGATCTATATTTCTTGGTCTGATGATCTCAGGGTTACAAGGAGAGACTGAAAAAACAGAGATTAATCAAAATTCTAGGGTTTTAGCTATTGGAACTCAGACACTGGTGTGGGTACCTTCCCTTACGGATTTTTTTAAACCACATGGTCTCAGGGAGGCTTAGAGGGTGAAATATACCCCTGTAAAAGCCAGTCATTCATCTTCCCATCCCATCATACAAGGGCAGTCACCTTCTTGAGTCATTCAGCTGCCCAGTCTTGAAGGTCCCTGCGGCGCCTGCCAAAGGCTTTGGAACCCACATTGGTGGGCACAAAGTTGTTCTTCACCACACCCCCTGATCTGCTCAGCAAGCCTGCCAGCCGATGAGTCACACAGGTGGCAGTGTCACAGGCTCTCTTCTGGGCAGTGATTCTGATTTGCAGGATGGAGAAAGAAGAGAAGATCTGTGAGTGAGAGGCTGGGAGAGAGGTCAGCCTCATGGGACCTTCACGGTAAAGTTCCTGTGCTGAAAGGCACCAATTAACTTTAAGTGTTTCTCCCAAACACAATTATCAGAGCAGAAAATCACAAGGCCATTAGGGAAAATGCCATGATCACGCCCCATAGATATTCCCAGGGGTGTCAGAAAACCCAAAAGTGACTCTGGATGACTGACTATGGAATATGGAGCAGTAACAACCAATCTTTCCTGTATAAACTAACTAAAAATTAAAGCGGAGGTTTATGACACTGGAGTGAATTATGGCCCTACACCCAGCCCCATTCACAAAGGACTATAAAATCTATACCCCACTCACGGGCACCAAATACCCCTTCTTAGGAAAATAAAAAATTCCTCAGTCTTACCTGGAAGATGAGTGGAGTTTGCAGCATCAAATCCTAGAGGTACTTACCTGCTCCTTAGGACTCCTGTTCTTGCTGCTTGAGCTTGGTCAGAGGGACCACCCACCATATCCTCTGTCCAGCTAGCCCAGGGTTAAGGCTATTTCTAGCATAGGTCTTACACACTATGAAGCCTGGGACATAGATCAGAGCAATGACCAGCACAGCTCAGATCTTTGGGGAAAAATAGTTTTATTCCTCAAATGATCAGTACATTCAGAAGCAGGACAGAGGAGCTCTCATGACATCTCTGGGGGACTCAAAGCAGCCCTTACTTTGTGGTATTTTCCCGGGTGATTCTCTTCCAGCCTGTGAGTCCTGCTCTTTTTCCTCCCGTCTGAAGCTTGAGACATCCTCTGCCACAAGGAAAGCCACCAATACCAGCCCAAAGAGCCACAACAGAGGAACTAAACCACATGCATCAAGTTATAGGAAGGACGCAAGAAGGGAAATTAGGAAGGAGAGGGAGGAGTTTAGTTGGCATCCTGGGGCATGCTAACATAACGGCGATGGTTTCTCTCCAAGTCGCTGGACATATCCCTTTTCTTTCCAGGTGCTCCAACCCCAATTGCAGTTTGGGGGAACGTGTGAAACTTGTTGAAGTCCTGCGTGTATGTGCCCAGCATGCAAGTACTCAGATTACCGCACCGCTTAGATCTGGGGCTGTCCAGGCTGCAGGGAAAAGACATGCCAGACAGTACCATGCACCAGAATCTGTCCCCATGGGCAGTCACTTAGAAGGTTAGACCAGGCAGGGGACCCTCTGAGTGGGAGCAGGAGGGGCAGGCAGGAGAGCAGCTCACTTATCCTTCCTTAGGACAGCTCAGATGTGCAGTGGGCCAGGGCAGTGCAGGGAAGGGCTGGATGGGGAAGGATGATCTTTTCTGGCATTCCACATGCTGTTCAGTCCTTCATGCTTGACAGAGGGGTTCTCAGGGCAGATGCAGGAGCAATACATGCCTCTGCCTGAGCAGTGCTGGGGCCAGGCCAGGGGATGGTCTCTGCTCAGGCTCAAGGTACACAGGGATGTGTGTACACAGGGTCTGGGGAAGGGTGCTCTCCTTGGCTTCCTGATAACATGCACATCTCCACAGATGCCACACATTTAAAGGCTTGACCTACCTCAGACACTGCTCTATCTGTCCCCATCCCCTGCAAGGGCCTTACCTTCACCTTGCAAATGTGAAATGAAGGCTCCTTATAGGTGTGAAAGAATGTCATATGCAGATTAACAAGATGGATCCAAATTTCTAGAATTTCCTGAGATATATTATGTCTATCCCTGACTTCACCCTTACTAGTGTTAACTCAACCAGTGCTGGGAGGTCTCCCAGTACTGCAAGAACAATTACCACAGTGAGCGATTCCACACCTCTCCATTTCATTTCCTAAGAACTTTCAGAAACGGAGCCTTTTATTGTGTCTAACCGCAGTTCAGTTCCTCCAGCCGCACTGGCACCTCTGTCTCCCTTGGAGCCTGAGAACGGCCGGGCCCCAGGTCCCGGTGAACAACACAGCCTGTTGGATTCCTGGCCAGTGTGTTCTCTCCTACCTTCTGGGATCCACCTTCCTGGGTATGCTGCAGGGAGAGGAGGCCCTGGACGCTTGGGGAGCCTCACCTGGAGCCCTCGGTCTCCTGCTCCTGCTCCAGTTCACTGGCCTTCATCTGCACATAGTCGTGCACCAGTGCAGCCAGCAGGAGGCGCGCTTCCTCCTCACTGAGTGTGGCTGGGTCTGGGCTGCTCTCTAGGGCAGACCTGTGAAGGGGAAGCTGACTCAGCGCAGGCTGTCAGCCCCTGCCTGCCCCTCCCCAGGATAAGCAGCCAGGCTTCCTGGTCTTTGCTTCTTCCCCTGAGAATGTGGCCAGTGGGAGTATTAGGGGACAGGGCACAAGGCCAGTGTCGTTCCCAGGACCCAGGCACTGGTGTGTGCCTCCAAGCAGTGGTGTGCTAGAGCCAGTTTGCATAGGCTTGTGAAAGCTGATGGTTAAATTTTCAAGAATTTTGCAAGCTGAGTGCAACCATTATTAAAAATTAAATGCTAAAACTTACAGTTAGTGCTGACCTGAAAATAGTTTCAGTTTAATAGATTTATATGTGGGTGAGAAATAGATCAACAGGTAAAATACCAGATTTAACAATAACAAATTTAGTGGCAAACTATTTAACACAATAGGATGCAATTCATTTATCAAATCATGGCGGAATAGGATAAATAGGATGACGAAACATACGAAAGTTTGACTAAAAGCAACAAAAGCATTTTGTGAGACTCAATGGGCCATATAAAATGTATAATAGGCTGGGTGCGGTGGCTCATGGCTATAATCCCAGCACTTTGGGAGGCCAAGGCAGGCAGATCACCTGAGGTCAGGAGTTTGAGACCAGCCTGGCCAACATGGTGAAACCCTACCTCTACTAAAAATATAAAAATTAGGCGGGCAGGGTGGTGGGCGTCTGTAATCCCAGCTACTCGGGAGGCTGAGGCAGGAGAATTGCTTGAACACAGGAGATGGAAGTTGCAGTGAGCCGACACGGTGCCATTGCACTCCAGCATGGGTGACAGAGTGAGACTCCATCTCAAAAAAAATTATAATAAAGAATATTGTCTAAATATTTATCACTACTTATAAATTATGTACTACACATCTTTATATCAGAAAAAATTATATATGTGCACGAGTATATACATTACCCCTGCCCCCAGTCAGTTTTTAAGCATTCAGCACACCACACTTAAGAGGCATGGAATTGTCTGATACCTGTGCGGTTCTGGCTTCAGGCTGTCTTACCTGAATGGTGCTGCATGGAGGCTGCCTGCCTGCAACAGGACCAAGATGCTGAGAGCCAGGAAGGCGGAGAACTTCTGGAAGCCCATGACACCTCTCTGCAAGGGAAGAATGAGGTAAACTACCTGTGCCAGTTCAAAGTTCTAGGAGCCCACAAACCTTGGCTCCTATCCTGCTTTCTGTCTTGCTTCTAACGCCCTGACTTTCTGGCTTCAGACTGGTCATTATATTTCTCTTCTTCTTTGTTTCCTCATCAGCACAGTGGACTCTTCCTGGGAGATTCAGCAGGCCTCTAGCATGCACAGTTTGACAAAGCTGGAGAAGCAATCCTAGCGGGAGAGCTGAGTGGGGGAGGCCTCAGGCCTACGCTTCTCCCCAAAGCTGCACACATGCTTATAAACCGATAGCCAGGTCCCTGCGGAGGACATGCTCCCAGGCCCCTGTCACAGAAGCTGCTCCCATAAGGAAACCCAGAGCTGTCCTCCTCTTGTGGGGCTTTTGCATACACCGTGGTGGGGGCGGGGGCGGGGGGAGAGATCTGTCCAGAGGGATTGTCTCTACGATTGGAATCTGAGAAATAAAATAATCAATTTTAGTCCTCAGCCGCTCCACCGCTGACACCTCAGTCCCCTGCAGGAAAGAAATTTTACTCTTAAATTGGGACCCAAGACTTTCTGTCTTTGCTCCCAGAACCTGTGACTGGGGCTTGCAGTTTAGGGCTGCTTGTCCCTCAGTCGTGGGGCCTGTCTGCCACCCATCCACTCTGTTCCAGGTTCTGAACCAATTTCCCTGGGACTGCTAGGCACAAGACGCCATCCCTGATCGCACCGTCTGCGGAAAGTTACTCTTGCCTCAGTCTCTGTGCGCGGTCCCTGGGGAGCCTGAGTGTCCCGAGCCTGGCCCAAGCCTGTGTGCAGAGAGAATAAGACTGGAGTCCGCAGCCGAGCAGGAAGAGCGAGCCTGGGAACTGAGACTGTCTGATCCAACCTAGGGCAGGAGCCGGTATAAATCGCCAACTAACAGAAGCTATCTGATGAAGAGACTAATGGAGAGAGAGGGAGAGGAGGAAAGGGGGAGAGAAACTGACTAATGGAGGGAGAGGGAGAGGGAGAGAGAGACATACCTGAGCCAGAATCTCGGGGCTCGCCTGGCAGAAGGTGGCTTGGATCAGAGGCGGTGGCAGCGGCGGCGGCAGCGTACAGCCAGAGAGCCCTGTGGAAGCGGCGGCGACACTTGGGCTGGGTAGCGTCTCTGATGCCTCCCAGCGCCAGCGACTGCTCTTATTCCCGCCGTTGTGGGTCGGAAAAGTTCAGCCAGTGCACAGCAACCAATGGGCGGAGGGGTCCTTCGCCCCAGCTGGGTTGCGTCACCCTCATGCTTCCAGAACCTGGAGGATCCAGCAGGACGGTCCCACTTGTATTTGCATTGAAGTCATTGATGGAAATGGGCGGGGGGATGGTAGGGCACCAAAAGAAACGCCCTTAAAGTAAGCGGGAATTTGAGGGCAGTTTGACGTCATGGTGAATTTCACCTCTCAGTCCGGCCTGGTTTTGAACCCGCGCCCCACTCCACCCCTGGTTTCGGGATTTGGCGGAAAGGGTCCAGGACTGTAGGGACTCTTCCAACTCTGACCCCAGACCCCTGCCCAAGTGAGATTTTAAAGGCTAATGCCCCTAAGGGTGGGTTCTGGGCCCAAGAAGGCTGACTCCAGTAGCTAGTATTACCCACAGAGGGGCAGGGCTCGTGGGAAACAAGAGAGGGAGCTGGGAGCAAGAACTTTGTTAGGCAGGAGTTCAATTACAGTTGACCCAGTTCCGAGTTGTGTGATCATGGGCAAGTAACTTCCCAGAGCTTCAATATACTCATCTTTGAAATGGGGACCACAGTCTTATCTTGAAAGAATGTTGTGAGAAATAGCCCAGTGCCTGGGCTCCAGATAGGCAGGGATCTAAAAGAGTTTCCTGGTCCGCATAGGGGATTCCGTCAGATCTCCATGGATACCTTCAGAATCCCCATCTCCCCGGACTGTCCTGGGGTACTCTTCAGATCCATTACATGTGTGAGGAGGGGGCCGATGACCTGCTGGGCCTGAGGGGTGAGTTGCAAGGTACAGATGTGGAAGCCTCCATCCAGGCCTCTGGCCCTCTCCCTTCCTACCCTGCCATCCATCACCTGCCTGAGCCGTTTGCACAGCTGCCCCTTCGTTTCCGGCTGCTGTTTGCCAAGACTTCCCAGATACATTCTCTTCCGGTCCCGCACCCCCACCCCCACACTTCAGTCCTCTCCTAAAGAGTAGGCAGGCCTGACAGTGCTGTGTGGTACCTGCCTAGACCGAAGCTCACACTCACTTCCGGTCACACTCATTTACACACACACAAACCCATTACTGTCTCCCAACATGTGCCCACGCTGAATCACAGACACTAAAAAACAGATACTGGCGCAGAAGAGTATCCTGAGGGGTTCACTCAAACGTGTCCCAAGCCTGCCTCCGAGTCTCTCGGGCGGTCGCATCCACACGCCCGCACGACGATGACCTGCTTGCATCAAACCTGCACACATCACAAACAGGCCCCCTCCATCACACCCAATTACACGTGACCTCGACAACTCTCACATCCCGCAGAACCGGGTTTCAATTTCACTGTGCCTGAGCATTCAGCTCCAGGCGCGCCCAGAAGAGTAGAGGTCGGGACTAAGGTACTTGCCGCCCACAGCGTCCAGAGTGGCGAGCAATAAACTTTTCAGCGTCCCCACCACCTCCCGGTGTGAGCGCGCAGCGCGCGATCTGCAGCAGCCGGTCCGGGCGCTGCCTGTGCGGTGAGCGCAGCAGCAGCATCCCGGGGCTGTTGGGAGAGGCAAGGACTCTGACTTGAGGTTCTTTGAGGCGGAGCAGAAATTAGCCCCTAGGTGTGCCGTCCGTGGCGCGAGTCACGGACCTCCAGGTACTCTGGGGTCGTGTTAGCACCCTTGTCCTCAGTCCCCAGAAGCGTCTACATTTCTTATGATAACACCCCTGCCCCGCGCTGCATCTCTTCCCCCTCGGGGGTTGGTGGCCTCCGTGCTCAAGGGGGCAGCGGGAACGCCTGACTTCCGAGATGCCCTTAATTGACTCTCCTCCTTCTTAACTACAGCGAGGGAATAACAACTCGGGGCTGGGGACTAGGTATCTGAGACTAGGTATCGCTCCCCGCAGGGCCCGCCGGTAGGGCGGTCACAGGACCCGGGATTGGAACTGGACCGCGAGGACAATGGCGCGCGTCAGGCGCAGAGCGTGGAACAGGCAAGTTTCGCGCGGAGCCGGACTTGGATGGCGGATCTTGGGCACAATGAGCCGCGGATCCTGAAGGAAGACAACCCCTGCTGAGACCCTGTCCCGAGCCTTGGAGCTTTTTAGCAGTTTAGACTCCGATCGCGGCCTGGGTTTTTGGTGCAGAGCTGCTTGAAGAGTTGCGAAGGCTGCAGTGCCGGCACTAAGTGGAGCGTAGTGTTTGCGCCTCTGCCACCTGGGCTGTAGCAGAAGAGCATTTGCACTCAGCTACCACATACTTCAGCGGAAATGACTTTTTCCAAGACTAGAGGTTTCTAACATAAGAACCTCTTGAAACCGTTTGTAAGTGTGTCTGTGATTCCTAAAGAGAGAGCTCATAGCTTTCGCCCGTGCCACAGTGACCACAAAATGAAAGACTGTAGAAGCAGATTTTGTGGCCATGTCACTTTGCGGGGTCGGAATTCTACTCCTGACTGTCGTGTGTGTCTTCAGCCTTCAGAATCCACACGCACTCCGCACTATCAAATCTTTGGCGGCTACAAATCAAAGAAAGGCTGGTGCTGTGGAGCGCTAACCAGAGCCTGCGTCCAGAGGGCGCTAGTGTAGCCCCGAGCAGTTTCAAGGCAGACTTTAAAAGTCCGTCTCTTTAGGACAGGAGGGGGGGTCATTAACTCACCTCTCAAGCACTCCTTGAGTTTGTAGGAAGTGCCTGGCGCCTTGCTGGGGGCTGAAAGTTTTTTTCGTTTTTGTTTTAAAGTCATTTTCTCCAGCAATTAGCACCATGCCAGGCACCCTAGTAGATGATCCGCCAAAGTTAAATGAATGAAAATTCATTCTGGCAAATTCACCAGTTTCATAAGGTAGCTCGCAGAAAATTCGGACCTGGTGGGAGCGGCATTTCGCTTTGCTTTCCGAAATTCACAAACTTTTCAGCCAGACTCCTCCCATTTTATTTGTCACAACAAGTCGGTTCCCAGGCAGAAGTTTTCAGGAATGAGGCAGGGAAATAAGGATTTCGTCTAGGGTTCTCTCTAAAGCCTGAGATCTTCTGGTGCGAAATGCGAAGTCATTCTCTGAGCCCATCCCTGATTTACTGAGCGAGCCAAAGGAAGCTTAGAGCTTCCCGTGCTCGGATCGCATAGATTTCATCACGCTATTCCTGGAACTTCTCTGAGTTTCAGTACTAAACGGAGCATGGTCTAAAGAAAGTTGGTAAGGAAAATGCTGATTTTAAAAAAATAATTGCTTGACTATTTGACCCTTGATTTTTACTGTCTTATTTCCTAACTTTAAAATCTGGAAATCAGGGTCAGTTTTGAAACAATCTGATTTTGGAAAACAGTGCTTTTACAACACCCCAATAAAATCTAACTGCAATGTTTGTTCCCATTCGTTTAGACCAGAATCCTGTACCCTTTGCTTTAGAAATAAAAATAAAGATGCAATCTGGTTGAAAATTCTTATGTGAATTTCCATGTGATTAAAAAAGTCACACCTAAAGGCTTGAGTTCAGAACTCAGGTTAAATTTATTGCTGCTCTACAATTTCTTCATAATATAGACTCAACCACAAAATCTCAGCAGTAGCAACAGCACCACCAGCAACAATAATACAACAGCCAACAACACACACATTTTCTTCAGCCTGGCAGAAACGTGGAGCTATCAAATTAACTGGAAAATCCCAACTGAAAATCGATTGTACTGTTTAAAGGAGGGCAGAAATCAAAGCTTTCCATCATCATGTTTACTGAAGAACATGCCAAGAGAAGTACTTGCTTCTGAATCATTTTCCTAAGACACTTTTAGAGTGCAGTAAAGCTGCTTCTGGGGGAGGGGGTACAGAAATGACTGCCAAAGAGACAGCAAGATTCACAAGAACCAAGATACAGAAACAGCCTAAGTGTCCATTGATGTTTGAATTCTTAAAGAAAATGTGGTGTGTGTTTATCACACACACACACAATGGAATATCAGTTAGCAATATTATTCAGAAGAAGGAAATATTGTCATTTGTGTCAACATGGCTGAACTTGAGGGATATTATGCCACACCAAATAAGTGAAGCACAGAAAGACACATAATACATGATCTCACTTATATGTAGAATCTCAAAAAACAAGTTGAACTCAGTATCAAAGGGTAGAATGGTGATTATTTGGGGCTGCAGTTGGGGGTAAAAGAGAGAAATTAGTTAAAGGATACAACCTTTCAGTTATAAGGTAAGTCCTGGAGACCTAATATACAGGCTGGTGACTATAGTTAACATATGCTTGAAATTTGCTAAAAGAGTAGATCTCAAGAGCTCTAAGCACACACACACACACACACACACACACACACATACATGCACACACACGGGAAACTGTGAGGTAATATGTTCATTAACTTGATGCAATCATTTCATAAAGTATACAAGTATCAAAATATCATATTTTATACCTTAAAAATAAAAACCTTTAATATGGAAATAAAAGTGAAAAAAAAAAGAGAGTGGGAGACAGCTGAAATTCCCCAGTAGGAATTTTGCTGAAGGCTTTACAAGAGGCGCCTCTGTGTAAACGCTGGAGAGGATATCAATGTTTTATTAATAACCTAGATGTAGAATTATCTAAAAGATGTTGCATGTGCAGTAAGTATGAAAAGTCACATAAATCATATTAAATTGAAACAAAGAAAACATATTATAAATATTGTAACTACCATCAACTAAGTTCCATCCATGTGCCAGGCACTGTGTATATATTATCTTTCTTATTAAACTGTTTAATAAGATAGATATTTTTATCTTCGTTGTATATGCAAGGGAATAGTAAGAGTATTTGGCTTGAATTAATTACATTTTCCAGTCTCCTTTTGAGGACCTGAAACATAGCTTATCTGTCCGCCATATCAGTTAAGAGGTGTGGTACCCTGGATCCAGAGGGAGATATAGGCATGTCTGCCTGCTTCAGGGCTAATGTGATTTGCAGTGAGAGACTCAATGAGCAGGCATAAATCATTTATAATTCCTGGACCAACATTTGGGAACATTGACAGTTTTGCAGCAGGAAAATAAATGTTGGTGCCACCACTTAAGTAAATTGCCAAAGAATACAACCCAAATCAGATTTATAACAATATTTATAAGATAAAATTGTAAAACACTTGAGTTCACACAAACAAAAATCCAAATGACTTAACTTCTTATATTTAGTATCATGCATTACTTCATCTTGTCTGAAATTGTGGTTGATTTTATAGAGTGTTCTATTTTGCCAATGGATGTGGGGGGTTGAGATGGGATGGGATAAGAGTTAGTGGCAACAGTGCTGGGAGTCAGAAGTTAGGGTTCTAATTCTCACCCCTAAGGGTATGACTTTGAGGACATCATTTGGACCTCTGTTTCCACATCTGATATATGAACTTTTATGGGATCGAGGGATTCCTAAATTCCTTTTTAATTCTGACATTCTATCAGTATGCTGTGAATTTTAAGCTGTTTTTACAGTACTTTTCTATAAGACCAGGCCACCTACTATTTGGCTTCCTCCACTTGCCCTGACAGTTACCACTGTCTTCTAAAAGAACAGCTGAGGAGTTCACCATGAAGGAGGAAGGATATGTCATTCTTTGCAGTGACACAATCAGAAAAGGTACTGCTTCCCCACCTAAATATGAGGGATAAATGATTTTGAGAAGAGACAGGAGAAGAAGGGAACAAATGTCCTCATCCTTGTCTCCTTATCAACAAAAGATGTACTGGTATCCTTTAAAAGGTGACAGAGAGGATGCCAGCAGAACTGGGAGCACTAAGTTCTCTGCTTTGTGAAAATGAATCTGCAATGAACTCCTGGTCTGGATGCCCATCTTTCTGCAAGTCGTCAGCAGAAGCTTTGCAATGTGGCTACTTGGTGAGTTCACATACAGCCCAACCCATAGTTCTGATGGAGCCTGAAAATCAGCTCTGAAAAGTTCTCCTCAGAAGATGCCTCTGAAGTGAGAGGCATGAAAAAAGAGACTAACCTTCAGGTAGGTCCAGCCAATATTTTAACAAATATTCAATGAATAATTTGGTTGGAAGGTAAATCAATTGAATATGCATAGAGAAATGTATTATGTTAAGTAGTACATACAATAAATACATAAAATGCATTTGTTTAGAGGGGTTATAAAATTATAATTATATGGCTATACATGTTTGAAAATATTCTGTATTAGTAGAAATAGAATGAATCAAGTAAGTACATTTATTAAAATATACGAGGAGCAGGTGAAAGAAAGAAGTGTAGGACTATTTGTATCTTTGTTACCAAAGAGCAAAGAAAAAGTATGGCTAGTTAACTGGAGTTAATGAAGAGACCCCCACCAACTTTTCTAACTAGGCTCTCTTCCAGTGTTAATGACGTTGTGCCCACAAATGCTGTGTGCAAATGAAGCAATCATGTAGAGCCATCCTTGATCTTCAGATCATCTTGGGTGAGTTTGGAGTGCAT